TCGGTCTGAAAAGCGAGGTGTGCTGTGATTGGCCAGCTATCCAGTGCGTTATGATTGGCCGAATACCTCAAGCGTGTGACGGAAATGTTACGCCCCAACCATATTGTGATGCCCTGTCCGGCCGGATCGAAGATACAAAAATATTAAAACCCATTATAAACGAGGCATTTGTTGCATCCAGTGGGGACATAATTACGGATTATAATGACTTATACTGTCTTTTTACGCGTTGCGTTGCATCGCGCCTCGTAAACATAAAACCATGTCTGCATTTGTGATCGGAGAAATGACAAACAACAAGCGCTACTCTACACTGCTCAAAACTCTCATTTGAATCGTCAGCGGCAAATTCTTTAGATATAAAAAACGTACTTACAGTCTGTGAGTCAGAACAGCCGGCATTGTAGTCTACTCTCCCAGGATCAGGAAACAGTCCTCCATAAAATGCGCTGGACTCTGAATATTTGGGTTGAACTGTTCTGGAACCGTGTTGTAAGTACAAGTTAACCACTGATTTCTAGTCGTGTCCTCTTTTGGAAGGCCAAACAAAGTAGTTTCGCTTTCACAACGAAACCGCGTCATACACCGCAGCCTTGAGTGGCCGGAGGCCTAGAGTGAGCGGAGGCCGGCTTGAGTGAGCAGAGGTGGCGGGCTTGAGAACGGCGCGGCCGGCGGATTTGACGAAGGAGCGCTTGCCACAACCACATGTGATGACCCCGGGCTGTACTCCACTTCATCCACGGTAAAAAGCCGATCCGGCGATCAACAGCACGAAGTTGATATATTTCCTCAGCGACCAGCACAGATCAGCTCCAGGCATGATGAAGTGAATATTGTCCCTTGCCACAACCACATGTGATGACCCCGGGCTGTACTCCACTTCATCCACGGTAAAAAGCCGATCCGGCGATCAACAGCACGAAGTTGATGTATTTCCTCAGCGACCAGCACAGATCAGCTCCAGGCATGACGAAGCGGATATCGTCCTCTTTTGGAAGGCCAAACAAAGTAGTTTCGCTTTCACAACGAAACACATAGCACCTTCATGACATGGCGGCGGCGGGAACAACAATACTACAGCGAGAATAAAAGTTATGCCGCCTTTCTTTGAGTGAACATTTTGGTGGCGTTATGCAAATCTTCCCACATAGTGACGTAGACATGTGGGGGCGTGTTAGAACGAGCCGTTTTAGGCAGGCGTGGTTGACTCAACTTTTATAAAGAATATCTCTTTGGATTTGAGACTTTAGTCTTTGCAACTTTACAGATCTTCTTTATGCACCAAGAGCTTGTAATACTCTAAAGAGAAAGGAAAAATTGAAATCGCATCATATGACCCCTTTAAGACTTAAAACATTTTAAATAAATGTAATTGTTTAACCAAGTTCAAGCTTTTTTCAAGAAAAATGAAAACATTTTGTTTTTAATTTTAAAAATAATAATTCACAATTGATGTATAGGCCTACAATGCAACAGCAAAATCTGTGAGCGAAAATGAATGGTACATTTATTTAGACCATTTTCTATACATGTATAAATAACTACAAAACAAGCTGCAATACCAAGCAGGACCATACGGAGATGCCAACAGCAAACTAAAATACCAGTCGCCTTAACCTGACTGTAACGCTACTATATAAATGTATACGGATCTCAATTCAGAATTATTAAATAGAGCATTTGAATTTACATTCTGAATTTGTCGAATGTGGTGATCTGAAGGCAGCTCGACATGACCAGTGAGCAGTTCCTCTGTCAGTATGAGTGCTGATGCCCATTTATATACATAAACACCACTGACCATTGCAAACTCTTATAAAAACATGCTTCTTCAGCCTGACTTCATATTTCTTATTAATAGAGATATGTTTGTTCCCATCAGTCGCTGCAAAAGTTAAGGTTATGTATAATGAGTCTTAGTGCTAGCCCTCCTGGAACTTTCACACTTTGGTGGTGCATCGCCCTATTGCCCTAATGAAGAAACCGCCTCTGTATGCAACAGTTCTTTTTGGTCCTCGAATCTCATTGGTTGAGAGGAGTGCGATATTCTTGTGATAACAGAACTCCAACCATTTCACTGTTTGTATCACTCCCCACACAGTATTTCTCACAGCGTGTGTCATGGCGGACACCATGTTTTAAAAGTTTTTTTTAAAGACACTGTTGTTTCTTATGTATTTACACACTTGTGCCGTTGAACTGTTGTATAAACGCATCAAAATCGTAGCCGTGCGATATGGCTGTGTATCGGCCTGCTGGGATTCATTACCTATGGTCGAATCACAGCCGTGCTGATATAGAGCCATATCACACGGCTACGAGTCTGAATCTGTATTGACAATAATTAGAATTTATCATATGTTAAGATTTAATATATATATATATATATATATATATAAGTTTTAATTAAAATAAATTTTCATTAATTAAGTACTCTGTAACATTAAAAAGTGATGTTCTCTAATGGATAAATGGTTCAGAAAGAAAAAAATTTCTTTTCGCTTTTAAAATGCAGATGTTTTTTCACCAGTTGAAAACAATTGATCTAGTTACTGTCAAATCTATCTTACACACACACACACACACACACACACACACACATACATATATACATTTCAGAATATTTTAAATTGTAGAAGAGAAAGAATACAGTTTTGTTTTAGTCAACCTAAGATTGAATTAAATTGTTTTATAGATTTTTAGAAGTACAGTAGATATTCTCAAAGCTAACAAAATGCACTAAAGTGAACTTGAATGCTGATCCTTTGTGACATGTGCTCATGCGCAACGCTTCTTTCAGTGTTTTGTACACTAAAGCGCGTTACAGTAGCCACCTGTGATCTTCCCCGTCGTGTGTGTTCTTCACTAATGACTCGATTTGAGCACAGCTCCCCTGACTTGTTGATGTCTGAGCTATAAAATAGTTTTAAATAATGAAGCACCCATCACCATGCTGTCATCACACACAAAGTTATAAAATTGTCTCCGGTGAAGTTTGGCAGTGTTTCAAGCGAGCAGAGCGTTCAGAGCGCATTGTGTGAGGCTGACGGCGCGATCAGGCAGCGGGGTTTGATGAGAAACAGGTGCACGGTTCGGACTCATTAAGGCCGCTGTCACCATTAACGAATCGCGCGCTCTGCGGTCTTTCATCATAATGACAGGTCAGCGAGCACTCAAGCTGCGCGTGCCATCAGAACGCGCAGAGAGAAAGAGAGAAACGCATTCACGTTT